TAGATTTATTTTGGGGAAAAAAATACACAATAAACTTTTAAAATGTTTTTTTTTTTTTTTTTTTTTTTGTAAGATTTTTTTTTTTGTTTGTTTAATCAGGTAAAGGTGGAAGTGTGTAATTTCTGTCACTTCTGGTACCAGGCAAAATTGCAAACATTTTTGCCCAAATGCTCCACCTGTCTTCCAGAATTCATAGCTAGTTTTCCAGTGTTGCCCAGTTATTTGGCACATTTTTACGCATGTACCTTTAAATCAGTCATCTGTTTTTTGTTGTTGTTGTTTTGTAGGGAACAGAATTTTTTTTCTGTGATTTTACCTGTAAGTCCCAAATGTCCTTCACTCCCCTCAAGATGCTTGTTTAAAATCTCTCTGAGCAGGGGAGAAGTTGGCACGGCTCTTTCCTCAGGCCAGTTTTGTACACATTCCCCGACAATAACCTTCCAGTATCCCCGGTGTAGACCTGGCTCTCAGAAAGCAGAGCATGTGTGATCCGAGGCGTATGTTAAAACAAACCCCCTCAGCTGTCCTCTCCTCAGGAGGGCAGAATATGTTTATACTTCCCTTCCCTGTCCACCTACTGTCTCTCCACCTCAGTAAACTTTGAATCCTGGAGCTAGAGCTCTCGTTTGTTTCATATGAAGCTCTATCCGGAGGCCTGTGTGTGTGTTCATGGCCTTAGAGGACTGTTAAGGTTGTAAGGGTGTAAAACAGATGTTGTGGTGCCAGCTGTCTCTGGGCAGTGAGGCGTGGCCATTGCACCCTGAGCCTTCTCTGAACGTCTGACATAGTGTGCTACTGGGAATGAGCTTTGGAGGGGAACCAGCAAAGCGCACAGCCTGCTTCATTCCCAGTATCCTTCTTTCCCCTTCCTTTCTCCTCCCAAGCTCTCCAAACAAACACACACTCCAGCACCATTTGTCAAGAATTGTTTAATCCAATCACTATTAATCCACGAGCAAGTGTTACTGTTTATCAAATGTGGCCTGCCCAAATTTTTTATGCTAATAACATATTTTCAAACTGTTGTTGAGGTGGTATTTAAATGTTAAATGAATTTTTTTAAGAAAATGCACTCTTAACGATTATTTGACCAAATTAAGATTAATTTGATAATTCATTTAAAGGGGTCCTATTATGCTTTTTCACTTTTTCAACTTTAGTTAGTCTGTAATGTTGCTGTTTGACCATTAAAAATATCTGCAAAGTTACAAAGCTCAAAGTCCACTTCAAAGGGAGATATTTTATTTAACAGAAATTACTTTTCAAAAACTACAACGAACGACTCGTTTGGACTACAACGCATATTTTATGGGATTTGTGATATCACAAATACTGACAAATGGGACAGACCTGGTTGAGCTGCACTAGAGAAGGCAACGAGTGTTATCACTATGTCGGAGACACGCTAGCTTTCCCAAGGCAGATGAACTTAAGAGTGGTTACCAAATTGATTGAATTTTGACGCAATATTTACACTGAAGCTCGCAGGCGGCTATGGTAAGGGGCATGACATTTCCCTACCAGGGGCAGAGTGGAGCCAATCACAACACACACTGGCCCAGCTAACCAATCACAGCACATTTCTTATTTCAGAAGGTGGGCCTTCATTTGATACAGGAACTATTCGAGCCGTTCATGACAGACTGGGGGGAGAGGTGTTGTAATAATATAAAATGTGAAAAATAATGTGTTTTTCGAACAACCTAGCATGAGAGCCTGTTCTAGTACACCCCCAAAACAAAATCAAAACTTTGTAAAAGAGCATAATAGGACCCCTTTAAGAAATATTTATATTGCATATTTATATTTAATAATATTTAAAAAAATTAGCAGTATGCTCTTCTCTGGAGTTGTTTTTTCTCTTCTATGTATTATGGACATTGGGTAACTTTCCTGCGAAATGTAACGTTAGATGACAAGTTGCATACAAGCTGTTTTATAGACATCTTTCCATGGTTCAGTACTGATTGCATAACACAGTGTCTATGCTGGATGCAGCGTGATGCGAAACCAACATTGACCTGATGCCTCATTCTATTATCCACGTACTCACACGCTTTCGCTACTTCAAACAACAGTGGATGAATTCAGAGTTCGCTTTTACGCGTTCAGTGAAGAGAGCCGCGTGCTGTTGCAGCACAATGCGATGCGACCGCGAAGCTGAGACTGTATAAGTAAAACACATTTGAGTTATGTGGCTTCATACAAGAGTCTTTGCGTTGTTGTTGTTTTTTTTATTTATTCAAATCACTAACATCATAATGCCATTTTCTAAAGGTTTTAACTTTTATTTGAATATAGGTATTTTGTTCTCTTTCAAAAAAAAAGTTAGGTATATTTGCCTAAATTGTCTAAATTTTTGTTTGTGTGGAATATAGTACTGGGTAATAATACTAGTAATAGTACTACGAGATTAGTGGTGTTAATATTTCTGGAACATGCATTTTACTATAGCAGGGTTACGCTGTTCTCAAGCGTTGCTGTCTGCATTGATCTAAAGCGGGAACGTGTCTGTGGGGCAGAGACTGTTTTAGGGCTCCTGTTGGGGCTGTACACTGTGTTCACTCAGGCGGGGGGGGGGGGTATTTTTAGCGCTTGGCTACCTCCATCGCCCAAGCATTATTAGGTGCAGAAAACTTCCGCCTTCGGTGCATCTCATTCACAGGTCAGAGAGCAGAGACTTTGTTTTCTGCAGCAGCGGGGAGCTCAAATCCCCCTAGAGTTGAGCTGATCCTGGGTCAGTGAGACAGCTGAAACTGAGCACACCTTTCTACCCATTCATATTCGAACCAACAAAGGTGTTACATTTATCAGAAAAGAACCGTGTTGCCTGGGAGACACCGTTATCTGAAAAAAACCCTTGCTTCAGGGCACTGCTGCTACAGGGGATTGCCTGTTCATTTTTTTCAAAATTGATTACACTAAGTCGACCGCTGTGCATAGCCGTGCTTTTCAAGTCAAATCTCTTTCTTAATGCTCACTGGTCATTAAGCACCTAAACAGTCTTAAAGTCTCTCAGAGACGGATTGGCTAAGATTACAGAGCATGTCTGATTTCAGAAGACATCGTCTAATTCGGGGCGTGGAAATGGGAGGGAGCTGCGTTGCTCATGGCAGTTCACTGCTAATCAAAATGTCATATGGGACATTGATGATATTGCAAGTGTTGTGCAAGCCATGAGAATTCCTTAAATGGCCTTTCATTATGTGTGGCATCCACATCTCACTGGCTTTGACATGAGTGGCAGTTGATTGCAAGATGCTTTTGAATTAAAGCCTCTTCTGCCAAAGCCTTAATTATACGAAGAGATTTTTTTGCTTGAGGGTGCTTTTCGTCTTAAATGTATGAAATTAAATGCCGAGCAGTTTCCATATCTGCGTTACATGGTATTATTAATGTAGCACAACAGAAGAATGAAAGTGGAGCAGGTTTTAGCCTATTTGATAAAGACGTTTGATAAAGAGGTTGTCTCTAAAATTGGGAACATGGCTTGCATTCCGACCATACCTTTTGTGTCTGTTTTCCAACTTAATGCGCAATGTCATTTAGAAGTTGCATTGAGCAGTTAATCCTTTTTTCCATCCTCATGAACCTTAATGTTATCAGCACCTTCACAGTCTGATTTCAGAAGACATCGTCTAAATCGGGGCGTGGAAATGGGAGGGAGCTGCGTTGCTCATGGCAGTTCACTGCTAATCAAAATGTCATATGGGACATTGATGATATTGCAAGTGTTGTGCAAGCCATGAGAATTCCTTAAATGGCCTTTCATTATGTGTGGCATCCACATCTCACTGGCTTTGACATGAGTGGCAGTTGATTGCAAGATGCTTTTGAATTAAAGCCTCTTCTGCCAAAGCCTTAATTATACGAAGAGATTTTTTGCTTGAGGGTGCTTTTCGTCTTAAATGTATGAAATTAAATGCCGAGCAGTTTCCATATCTGCGTTACATGGTATTATTAATGTAGCACAACAGAAGAATGAAAGTGGAGCAGGTTTTAGCCTATTGAAAAAGGGTTTTAGCCTTTATGATAAAGACGTTTGATAAAGAGGTTGTCTCTAAAATTGGGAACATGGCTTGCATTCCGACCATACCTTTTGTGTCTGTTTTCCAACTTAATGCGCAATGTCATTTAGAAGTTGCATTGAGCAGTTAATCCTTTTTTCCATCCTCATGAACCTTAATGTTATCAGCACCTTCACATCGCAAGGGAGACCTGGGAGGAAGTGCACCACTTCTGTTTCCCTGATCCAAAGATAACATCTCCTCTCTGTCTCTTTCACACAATCTCCTGGCCAGACGTGGCCAGTTTTATGCCACGTCTACCTCTTTCGCACATCCAGAGTCTTTTCCACCTGTTCTTTTGCAGTGTTTTTTTTTTTTTTCCTCCGCTACCTATCTGTTCCTTTGTTTTACTTTGCCCCGTCACTTTTTCTATTCACAGATTTTGACTTCAGCGTTCCCGGCTCCATGAAGCTTCACAATCTCATTTCAAAGCTGAAGAAGTGGATCAAGATTCTGGAAGCCAAGACGAAGCAACTACCGAAGTTCTTCCTGATCGAGGAGAAATGCCGTTTCCTTAGCAACTTCTCGGCCCAGACTGCTGAAGTTGAGATCCCGGGAGAATTCCTCATGCCTAAGCCCACACACTATTACATCAAGATTGCCAGGTAACAATCAATACACACTAGAGATGGGGGTTGCTCTGGTCGACTGATCATCTAGTGATCCAGTAACTGACTAGTCATATTTCTTACGGAAGTCATGAATAATTAAGTTCGTTTCAGTTTTATTTGATGGTAATACTTGACACATTTTGCAGCTAAAATATAAAAAATAAAAATAAAATAATAAACTAGTCACCTTTACTAATCATCTAGTCATTCAACATCTAACTAGTTGATCTGTCTTAAGGAAGTCATGAATAATTATGTTAGTTTCAGGTTTATGGAAGGTTTAGAGGACTTCCTTAAAACAAATTACTTGATTAGTCATTCAGGCAACCCACCACTCAATCTTAAATATGTAGCTTCATGTCTCTAATACATACACTAGGACACATATGTCGTTTTTGATTGAATTTTTTTTTGCTTTTTTTGTATTCTCCCCTTAGAGTTCTAAGCTAGACTCCAGCTGAGACCTTAATTCTCAGTGATTACTTCATCACTTACCCATCATTTTCTCTCTCACACCCTCTTACTTTACCTCCTCTAAGGTTCATGCCCAGGGTGGAGATTGTTCAAAAGCACAACACAGCTGCTCGACGACTCTACATCCGCGGGCACAACGGCAAGATCTATCCATACTTGGTGATGAATGACGCATGTCTGACGGAGTCCCGCAGAGAGGAGCGTGTCTTACAACTCTTGCGGCTACTCAACCCCTGCTTGGAGAAGAGGAAAGAGACCACCAAGAGACACCTCTTTTTCACAGGTACTGCAGCAACCCCAGATCACAGAAACATTCCCTTCCCCCTGAAATAGCACTGACTACATCTATTTATATCAGTCTTTTGGACAAGACCTTCCATTCGTATGACCAATGAATGTTCAGGCCTAAAGATTATTTATAAAAAAATAAATAAAAATTCTGAATAAAATCATATGAAGGTATAAATAAAGCATTATAAAGAATGCAAGTATAAATAAATTAAATATATTAAATATATTATTTTTTTAATTAATGAAATAAAAAATAAAAAAGCAACTTTTTCCACTTCTCTCGTTAAATCTATTTTGAAATGCATGTGTTCTGAGGTGCCCCATTTGAATGCTGTCCATTTGCTCTCAGTGCTGGACTCGATAGCCTAGTTGCTCTCAGACAGATTGAGGGAGATGGAGAATAGAAGAGAAGAAAAAGAAGCAAGATTGAGGTGAAAAGTAGCAGAAAAGCGGTGTAGTGGTAACAGAAGAAGAAAGAGAGGGGACTGGAGCAGAATGAATAAAAATGAGGTTGCTCTTGTCCCTGTGGAGACTGAGGGAGGAAGATCTAAATTGTCTTTCTTGTGATAGACGCATTAAAGATGAAACTCTCTCAGTTTAGAGGTCAAGGATGCCACATTTTAGCTTTCACTGAAATATTTTGTCTGTTCTCCATGCGTTTATTCTTTAACCTCAAAGAAAAGAGGTTGATTTTATGCTGCAATGCAATTAATAATCATTAAGTAACATTAAGGATGTTTGTGTGCAAAATGTATTTTTATCATGCATTAATGCCTTTCACTGAAGTTATTTATTAGATGTGTATGAGATGTTCCCTGTGGTCGTGTGAGATGCTTTTCTTTTTACTCCCTCACAGGTGTTTTTGTGGCCTCGCTCAGCTGTTGATTTGTTTTGTTTAAAAATGACTCTGTAAATCAAATGATTGTATAAACAGGTCTGTTAAAATTTTTAGAGGTATTTTAGGAGATGGTCATATTTCAAGTTAACAGCCCTTTATGAAAGCCAAATAGAATCTAAAAGATGCTTTTCAAAGAGAATTATAATAATATCTGCTGAAATAGCTAGTGGGATTTGAATTGTTTTATATACCAGTAGAGTACATCCTCTTTAAATCTGTTCTCGTCTTAGTCCCAAGGGTGGTGGCGGTGTCTCCTCAAATGCGGTTAGTGGAGGACAATCCATCGTCTCTGTCTCTAGTGGAAATCTACAAGCAACGTTGTGCTAAGAAGGGCATTGAGCACGACAACCCTATTTCCCGCTATTATGACCGACTTGCAACTGTTCAGGCTAGAGGAACCCAAGCCAGCCATCAGGTATGCCGTAAATAATGAGAAAATAGATCAATAAAAATGTACTTCACATAAATTGAATCTCATGAAATGGCCACGGTGCATTTTTTTTACTATATTTATATTTTATGTACAGATCTGGATGCATAACAGATAATGAGAATAACAACTCTTATTTTTGCTTTTAATTTTGCGGGAAAACTGGACATTTACCTTAATATGCAGTAGAGTAAATTAACCAATAAAATAGCTTTCCTTTTATTTTAACTATATTTTTTGTCCATGTTTTAAGGTCCTGCGTGACATTCTGAAGGAGGTCCAGGGCAACATGGTTCCTCGTAGCATGTTGAAGGAGTGGGCGCTGCACACCTTCCCCAACGCCACAGATTATTGGACCTTCCGCAAAATGTTCACCATCCAGCTTGCTCTAATTGGCCTGGCTGAGTTCATGTTGCACCTGAACCGTCTCAACCCAGAGATGCTGCAGATTGCACAGGTACCCTGATGACGTGACGTCATGGAACTAATGTCATACCTGATACTAGCTCTCTTTCATCAAATATACATGTATCCAACAAGTCCAAAGCAGTTTCTTGGGTCATTACACTTTTCAGTTTTTGATGGTGACTCTCAACGTGTCTTTATGATTGTTTGTCATGCAACATTTGCGGTACAGTATCGGGTTAGTGCAGGTCCGTACAGTCTTTTATTAGAAATGATTGTCAAACAAGTACCTCGTCCTGTGATTCTAATCTGCAGTTTTCTGACAGGCAGAGGAATGGGCGGCTAAGTGGGTATAGTAAGCCCCCTTGCTGCCGGTTCCACTCTACAGATCTCATTAGGCACTAGGAGATTACCACGGCAGGCAGAGCGGACAAGCAGATATGTGCTGTCTTTGTCTGTGTCTGTGTCTGTGTCTGTGTCTGTGTCTGTGTCTTTTATGTATCCAACAAGTCCAAAGCAGTTTCTTGGGTCATTACACTTTTCAGTTTTTGATGGTGACTCTCAACGTGTCTTTATGATTGTTTGTCATGCAACATTTGCGGTACAGTATCGGGTTAGTGCAGGTCCGTACAGTCTTTTATTAGAAATGATTGTCAAACAAGTACCTCGTCCTGTGATTCTAATCTGCAGTTTTCTGACAGGCAGAGGAATGGGCGGCTAAGTGGGTATAGTAAGCCCCCTTGCTGCCGGTTCCACTCTACAGATCTCATTAGGCACTAGGAGATTACCATGGCAGGCAGAGCGGACAAGCAGATATGTGCTGTCTTTGTCTGTGTCTGTGTCTGTGTCTGTGTCTGTGTGTCTCTCTCTCTCTCTCTCTCTCTCTCTCTCTATAACACACTCCCAAAACATCATGCATTTCCCTGGTGTATGGTCCTGTGCAGGGTCTAAATACAGAGCTTGAATCATGTTTTAGTAGTCTTATTGTGTTTGGAGTAATTTAACAACATTTGAGTGACATTACATCATTATTAAACTCACACAAATCTTGCAGACAACTACAGCACCCCTGATCTCATCCAAAACACTTCAAATGGTAATCTTGAGAACATTATTTTTATTTGAAATACTTCATTGGTGGTGATGACGACGCTCTACATCAAGGGCATCAGAAGGCAAATGGAGGATTATATTTGTTCATATGCTCAAATGCTGACACACCACAGTGGGTGTAGGATCAATACATCCTCCCATTTTTGTGGTCGGATGTCTACAACACTATCCAGTTTTCCCAGAGTGCTATAGATTAGCTGTTGTCTGATGTTGGTCCCACTTGAGTCCCACATGAGCAAACAGGCTCTTTACCCAAATTTGGTTTTGCTTTGTTTCTCTGAATGGAAACTTATCAACTTGGTGCCACATGATATTCCCTCTCTAAGTCTGATACGTTAGCCGAAGTCTTGTAGTTTCTAGATTATAAGGTCAGATTCTCAAATGAATTAGTTAACACCATCCTGATGTGTTGTGCCCCCAACAGGACACCGGAAAACTCAATGTATCATACTTCCGCTTTGATATTAACGATGCCACTGGTGATCTGGATGCCAACCGGCCGGTCCCCTTCAGGCTGACGCCCAACATCTCCGAGTTCCTGAGCACAATCGGCGTATCCGGACCCCTCACGGCTTCCATGATAGCAGTAGCACGCTGCTTTGCTCAGCCTAACTTCAAGGTACACTTTATGAGGAACACAAATAATGACAAAAGAGACTCCACACTTTCAGTCTCCAGGGCTCTTGACCCACTCTAAATCTGTGTCTCCTCTCAATCAGGTCGATGGCATCTTGAAAGCAGTTCTTAGAGATGAGATCATCGCTTGGCATAAGAAGACGCAGGAAGACACATCCATGCCTCTGTCCCCAGCTGGACAACCTGAGAACATGGACAGCCAGCAGCTGGTGTCTCTTGTCCAGAAAGCTGTGACGGCCATCATGACCCGCCTCCACAACTTGGCCCAGTTCGAGGGTGGTGAGAGTAAAGTAAACACGCTAGTGGCAGCTGCCAATAGCCTGGACAACCTGTGCCGCATGGACCCCGCCTGGCACCCTTGGTTGTAGACGGGCATGTATAGAAACAAATTCTGGCAGATCTCTGAGAAATGCAATACTGTGAAAGTGAATGTCAGTCGATGAATTTGTCCCATGAGTTTAAAAAACATCATGTGTTGAGTTAACATTTAGAAGGGGTTATATAATAATGCACAAACTGTCATTTAAAAAAGAACAGGATAATACTTAAGGTCTTTAGTATTCACTGTTATTCACAGGAAAGAGATACATGCAGCAATTAAAAGCAGCTTTGTTTGTTTGGAGAGGAACTATTGTTAAACTGATGAGCTTAGCAAGGTGCTTTTGTTGAGACTGCCGTGACGGTACAGGACAGCCTTTAAGAAAATACTGTTTCCGCAGCCATTTTTTGGCTCTACACTGGAAGAGGGCGCAGCAGCTATCCCGGCAGATTTTATGCAACTCCCATCAAGCTCTCCTTTTACGGCTCCGCCATTCTCTCTGACTGACGGCAGCCTTTTAAATTTAGTAATCTAATTTACATGAATCAACACTCAGCAATGTTCAGCATGTTGTTACGTGTCAGTATGTCATTATTTAAAGTTATTTGTGGGAATATTTTTCTTTAACCTTTGTACATCATGTAAAAATGACATTGCATCCCTTAATTGTTTAGTTTTCAACAGGTTTGTGCAATTTAAAGCTGCCATGTGTTTGTCAACCATAGATTTGTTTTTTTGGCAAAATACTTTGGAAAGGCAAAGACCTGTGAGCCTTAAGACAGGGGTAGCTCTGTATTTAGCTAATTTTTAGTTAATAATAGCACATACAATTAAATTATCCGTTGTTACTGCTCAAAGTTTTTCAACTTTGCCTTTTTAGGAGTGTCCCAAAACATTTGTATCTCACTGATACACCTAAAAGCATTTTTGTATACATTCCCCTCTTTTGTAAAGGTACAGAATATTGTGCCAACATATGGATAAGTTACCTCTGCAATGTAAAGATGCATTTTGTTTTAATAAAATGCCCTTTTTCAAGAAAAAAAAAAGTTGTTGTGTTTTTATAAGAATGGCAGCCCTAGCTGTTCTGTCTGTGGATTTGTATTCCAACTACATGGTTAAATGTGACGTGTGTCTCTCTGTGGGTGGTTGATTGAAGGACTCTTTCAGAAAGAAAAACCTTGTCTCTTGCTGATTGTCTGAAGTACAAGAGAGGACCTGAGTGAGAGCATGCCATGGAATCGTTTGGGTCAGGTCAGATCACGGTCTGCTTTTCCTTTTTTATTACAGCCCGTCAGTATATGTCACTGAGCGCTGTCTTCTCTGAGTTACACATGCTGTCAGCGCTGGCTTCAATCCCATAAACCATTGCTTCACCCTTTACGCTTGCACAGCACAGGTGCTTATCCTCCTTTCTCTGATCTCTCTCCAGCCCCTTTCTAGCATCAGTCGGGGACCGTACGCTCCCACCTTTGTCCTCCTTTTGAGGTCCTTTGCCACCAAACAGTCCTGGGGGCTGATGTACAACTGCACTGTCTAAACATGAAAGAGCTGCGATATTCAACTCTGAATGTGAGAGATGTGTCAGGTCCTTGCTGTGGCTCAGAAACCCCCGCCCGCTGCCGCATTGCCCGTTGATGTCTAGACTGATAGCAGGAGGATGTGGGCAAACTGACTGATGGAGCCCCTTGGGGAGAGCTGTGATTGGCGGACATATGCAGGACAAACAAACCACCATTTATTCTGCCAGCACAATGATGGAGAGAAGAAAATCTTCCTTGATGACATCATCTATCTGCTAAAATTCGGAGTGATGTTCATGAGTAAAAAGTTCATGAGTTTTTTGGAAGTCCAATTGTTTTGGAATTCAACCAGACAGTTGCAGATCCCTTTCGATCATTAGTGTGAATTCACAATATCCAAATGAATTAATTTGGAAGTGTCTTACAGATCGTGATCTTGCTTCCCATTATGAGCTGACAGCTACAGGCTTATGATAAAATGTGTGGGTACTAAACACTAAGCTGACATGAGCAAATGTGTCCGGAGGATGTGTCACCTATAAACCGCAAACATTACCTCTGTTTTCACACCCTAGACAAATTATAGCATCCTGTGTGAGTCTTATCTTCGATCTAAACGAGTGTGCCTTGAACCGAAGAAAATGTCATTTAACGCTTCTACACAGGATTTGAATTGGGATTGTTTTTGCTGAATAGCAGAATTCTCATACAGTTGAGCAACTGCTATTCTGCTGTTACAAATTAATGGGGAAAGTTTTCAAGGTGATGCTCTGTGGCGCATTACCAGGTAAAAGTCATTTGAAGGAGTGCCACGTGCAAGTACCGGGAACAGTTGAGCTGATCGAGGATGGGATGTGGTCCTGTGATGCCCTCGGGCTCCAGCCTATTTGGAGGAGCCCTCTTGAAAGATATCTAGAAAACAAGACAAAACATTGTAAATACAAGGGGATTCATGAGGAACTCTGGTCTGTCTGTATTAGGGGTGTCCAATCCTGCTCATGGAGGACCACCTTCCTGCAGAGCTCAGCTTTAACCTACTCCAATACACCTGCCGGTGAGTTTAGTAACCCTGTAGACCTTGATAAGCTTGATTGGTGTTCAAATTGAACTCTCAGGAAGGCAGCCTTCCAGAAGCATGATTGGACACTTTTGATATACAGTAGACAAGAATTCCTCAGGGGAGCTCTTTTTCCCTTATATATTAAATTTCCCATCTCAATTGGCTTGTTTCCAGGTATCGGAGGCCCTGGGCATTTTGCCCCATCCGTAATTTGTCCTTAGAGCTTATGTAGAGTTAGGATGTTAGTATTTGAGATTCAAGTCCTTTGCAGTAACATTCATTCTTCCTGATCCAAGAACCACAATCTAATTTCGCTGACCAGCTTGTTGGAGAGGCACATGAGGTTTCATTTTGTTTGGCGAGGCTAAACGATGCACTGCAAAGCTTCTCTGAAATGAACCTCTGCTGAAGTATTAGCTTCATTACCTGAACTTTCCCAGCGCTCCCCCTGAGATCATTTTCTGCAGTTCCCCTGACTTCGGGTGCTTGTCAGAAACACTTCACGTCCTAAACCAATTAACCAAGCGCTTCTCAGAGTGCCCTGATCTCCTGGCAGGCTGGGAGGAGAGGCTCTTGTGTGTCTGACAGGATCTCCCTCCGCTTCTCCTCCCAGTTCGCTGATTTAATTTGTTTGCTAATATGAGGATTGGCATGTTCCGCCCAGATTCACTGCAAAGTGAAATTGGACAAGGGCATTGGAGCTTCAACATGTAAAACTGTCTCACCTTGACAGCTGGCTGAGTGGACTGGTGATTGCCTGCAGAGATACCTGAAAGGACCACACACACCAATTCATTCAGCCTCCATTGTAAGGATTCAGGGGATGACATCATGAAGGAATAAACCTATGTAGTGTTTGTTAAAGGGAGGTATAGAGACACTTTGTAAATCCCTTGATCATTTTGGTGGTTGAGCAGTGAACTTTCCCCAAATTGTCCAATACATGGTTACTATACCCTTCCTCTTGTCCATCAGTAAAGTAATTTACTGTATTTTACTTATTTATCTCTCTTTCGCCTCCATAAATATGTTTAGATGGAGGAAAGCTGACACTGCAGCTCAAGAAGATAATCAGCTTACTCCGTCCAAATGTCAGTGAACATTTCTTGAGTTGATTCCAGCCTGTCAGGTCCTCCAAGCTTTATCATAGATCATACAACTTTGACTGACATTAATGGATTCCTGTGGGAATCTGCAGAATGGTGAGTATTTAAAGTTAATGTGTGTATATTTTTTAATTCTCCTGTCCCAACCTAAAATTAATAATAAATGATAAATTCCCCCAGAAAGTGTAAACACTGTGGCACTTTCAAAACAAAGCTGTTTGTTTAAGCATCCTGACCAGCCCAGTAACACTGACACAACCAATGGTGTGAATTTAGGGCAGAGCTATCTGTTAGATTGACCGATAGCAAAAGGGAGTATTCAGCAACTTGTTATTGAAAATAGTTATTATCTTTTAAATTTTGTCAAAGCACAAATGATACACTTCACTTAAATGGCTTGATGAGCCATTGGTCAGCTTTCTTTTCTGTGTTAATATATCCTTTTCAAAAAGGAAGTTTTGGCAGGACATATCAAGGGGCTTGTCTTTTAATTATTATTATTAATTTATTTTAGTAGCTAATGGGCTAATGTTACATCACTGCTATGAATCCAGATTTTTTTACTTGCTAGTCGTGGTATTAGGGGTGGGACATTCTCATTCTAGAGAGCATTTGACTGAATGAAAATCTGTGTAGTGCAGGATGAGTCATCAATATTCTTGGTTTGTTTTTATGTATGAGAAACACTGTATGTTTAGGAGTACACTAGCATAAACACACAAGGACCAAGCAACACAGTAAGCTGATATAGTGACAAGAATTAGTTAACATTGTGTGTGTGTGTGTGTGTGTGTTATTCTATTGTCATATTTATGCAATGCAAATGAAACTGTGAAATGAATGAATAAAATGATAATATCGAGCTGGTGGGTTAATTAGATAAAGTACATTAAACCGTGCATTGCCGTGTTCTTTTGCACTGCAGTACTGCAGACATTATTTCCAGACTCTCTGCCTAGTTGTCCTGAGAGACCGACACCAGGAGCATCTTAAGTCCGACTCATTTCCACCTCCAGTGAAGGGAAGACGGCTCCTTAAGGTGTGTGTATATGAGGTGTAGCCCTCAGGGAAGATAGCTGATCTCAGCCAATCACAGCACCCTGCAGATAGACATGATCCTTTTGGGGACTCTGTTTGGAGACTTGCTTTATTTTCTAATGCTTGTCAGAGAATACAGCTAGTGGTTGTTCAAAATTTTGCTTGCTTTATTACCCTTATTCAATCTTTCCATAATATTCATAGTATTTCATGATAAAATCATAGCCATTTTGTGCCCAGCCTCACATGGAATTTGTACGCAAGGAATTCCACACAATCCTTTGCAAATTTCTATAACTGGAAAGCACATTTAAAAAAAAAAAGTTTTATGCGTCCCAATCTCTTTATTATTGTCAGTTTACAGTACACTGTACATTAAACACTATTGTGGTTATTATAATCAAATTAGTTTTTAGCTACTTTTGTTTGAGAACATTTCTTTGATGTTCTTCTTAAATTCTAATATTGTTCAGAAGGGCTGATCTTTTGTATGTTGTTTCCAAACAAGAAATTTAATTTGGTTAAGCTATGATGAAATCCAGCTCTATTCTCTCTTAATGTTTTATGCTAAACACTGGAGCAGCTCTGGACAGGGCCAAACGGCT